TTCCAACTCTAACCATTCCATGATTCTGTGATAGGCTGAGAGAACTGGGTTTGTTCAGCCTTGAGGAAAGGCGGCTTAGGGGAGACCTTATCACTATGTTCCAGTATTTTAAAGGGTACTACAAAGAACATGGAGACTCCCTTTTACAAGGAGTCACACAGAAAATACAAGCGGTAATAGGCACTAGTTACTCCCTAGGAGATTCCGATTGGGCACAAGAGGAGAATTTTTCACAATGAGAACAACCAGCCATTGGAATAATCTCCCCAGGGCAGTGCTGGATTCCCCAACACTGGACACTTTTAAGATTCAGCTGGACAGGGTGCAGGGCCATCTTGTCTAGACCGTGCTTTAGCCAAGAAAGGTTGGATCACATGATCCTTGCGGTCCCTTGCAATCTGGTATTCTATGATTCTGTGATGAATTTTTGGAAGGGAGCCTAATCTATTATAAAACAAGCTTTGAAAGGCCAAGTCCAGGAACAAAGAAAACAAGAGAAGCTAACAGGGTCTGAGTTCAAGATCATTTCATCTGTTTTTCAGGAATCTATGATATATATACACACACATACACCTACAAATGCACATACGTATGTATTTGTATACACAGTATTCAAAACTTCTTAGCTCAATTTTATTTACTTGCTTTATGCTAATGCTGTTCAGTTAGGCCTCAAAAACACTGCTCAGACTGTACAAGACCTCTGCCCAGGATCCATGCCCAAGGTGGGACCTACAATAGAGACAATGCTCAGAAGACCGAAGTTGCACACAGGAATTTGCCACCGCTCTCCCCACAGTGTGCAACACCATCATCCGAAACTGGGTATTATCCAGCAAGAAATACTAGAGTCTACCAAGGAAGATGATAATTACACATTAGCACTTTAAATAGTTTCCTTAGTTCTCCTTAAGTGTAAGCACATGGTTTGAAAAAACAGCATACGTGTTTGAAGGGGAAGACAACACCCCATTTTCATGCTTTAGAGAATTAACACCTCCCTTCAGACCAGGTCTGGGATGTTTTCATGTGCAATGATCTCTGTTCTCCTCAAGCACGAATCTACAGTCACAGTAGAGCCCGAATTTCAGGTCCACAGCATAAGCCAGGTCCTGCCTCTGATACATATACATACATATCTCAGACATCAGTGGGAGCCTCATTTATATGTGCATGAACATATCTGTATCATTTACACAGGAAAACTGCCAGTAAATCAAGTAAAAAATCTACTCCATACAGAGAAGTTCCAACAAATGTTTGGAGAACACACATGTATCTTAAAAAGGCTATTGAATACACTCTGGAACTAGCTGGATGAATTCTTGTTCATCATCGTGCTATGTTTTGCATGTTCAAAAACTGAGACACAGGTTCAAACTGCTTGCATGGTGAACAACATATGTTAAACCTTTAATCTTCTTCAATTGTCTAGCTACATTTCATTCCATGAAGAAACAAATAATCATTACAGATTCCAAGCATGCTACTCTGCATTGATTAGCAAAAGATGAAAAGGAGAAACTTTGCCAGGATAGCAAAGCTGTGCTCTTTTTCTAGACATATTTGCAAAAATCACAGCAGGATTTCTAGAGTTTTGCTACTTAGGACAGACTTCTGTTTCTCTCCAATACTGGTGAACTGTGCAAATTCCAGCTCCAGAAACAGCTATTCTGAACAGTACTCATTCCCATTTTACAAGTTTGTGATGGAAGTAAGTGTATGTTTGATACAGATTTAACATACATACACAGATGGACTCCTACAGTTTCAAAAAAGTTTGTTTCTGCCCTAATTTTGTGCATGTCTTTCTGCAGCACTTTGTTTTGGTTTTGTTTTTTTTTTCTCCTTCTATAAAGAATTAAAGGGCGAATAAAGTCCATAGTAAGGCAACCCTCACATAGCGGTGGGTTTGAACTTCTTGAAAATTGTTTAACTGGTTTTATTCATCCAGTTTAAAAACATATCATTGTAGAAACTTTGAAAGCCATATTTGGCAATGTTCTTCAAGAGCAGTTAAGACACAGGATTATTGTTATTTTAGGTGGAGTGGAACGTTCTGTATGCATAAAACTTGTGTATACTGTAATGAGTAACTTAAGCATGGCTGAAGAGTTTATAAGCACAAAAATCAACAAGTAAAGCATTCAGCTCTTAAACGCTGTGCAAAAAAAAAAAAGAACAGTTTTTGGGCGAGGCAGCAGGTTCTCAGTTTGTAATGAAAAAAAAACCAAAACAACCACCCACAAAACAAAAAACCATGAGTAGTCCAGTTCCTAACTGTGTTTTATCTTCTTTATCTCCTCCGAAGATTGGGAAAATTGCTAGAAGCCAGGCAGATTGCAAAGCCGTATCTGAGAACTGTGAGCTGCAGGCTCAGCTACAGACAGAGCTCATGGCCAAAACCTCCTAATAAAGCCTTCAAGTCATATATTTTTTAAAACGATGCCTACTAGCAACTTTGGCTCCGTTTACAGATCTGCAATTGCAAAAATCCACTTGGCTCATTTTGTGATCCTGCTTTAACAAGTGCGATTTTTACTCTAGGCTGATCTACTTCAACTAGTCCCCAGGCAACTCCAGGGGTGAGCACCAGGCATTGCTATCAGGATATAGCCTGCTGACTCCTATTTGCCTGCTTCATCACTAAAAATGGTAGCTGGCATAACATGCAAGAAACTTAAAATCACCCATTGCACTGAAGGAAAATCATGGTATGTATATTGTAGCCTAATCTCTCTGCACTGACATTTTTTTGGTTGGACTGTCAGCATTTCTGAGAATTCCTTATCTGTAAGCGGGGCTGTCAGAGTACACCACTGCAATGATCACGGAGCCTGCAGTCTTCTCGCAACGTGTCTCCTGTCATTCATGTCGCACAGATAGGCTTTCACAGCAGACTGATTCACATGTGAGGAATGTTTGGTAGATATTCCTCCCAGAGCCCACAGACTGCGGTTACTGCTTTCATTTGCAGCAATCCCAAGATTCATGTTTCTCTCGTTAAATCAGTGATGACATAGTGAAGTGCGGGTCTGGGCATTGTCCAGATTCATGATCAACATCTACAGGTATTTCACAGAATATCTATACTCACACTGTTCATATACAGACATTCTACATTCATTTGCAACTTGATCATATGTGCATCATAGATAATGTCCACTAATTTCTGCAAATATTTACACCATGCCACTAAAACTAAGTCTTTACTTTCAAAGAATAGTAATACCATACTTGCAACACTGCAGAAGGTATTGATTAGTCTCCTGCTTGGCAACCTTGTAAAGCATTTTGCAGGCTGTATTTTATGTACCAACCAATTTTCATAAACCTTCTCACCGTATATAAGAATTAATCACTTTGCTTGAGAACTTTGCAGGACCAGGCCTCGACTTTGTAATGTCATACTTGAGAGGAGGACTTCATTTTTATATTTCACATGGCTCTTAAAACAGCTTTTTTCTGTTGCAGATACTTCCTCAAACTAACCACGGAAATTTGGACCCAGGGCTGTCTAAAGTAGGTAAGGGGTATGTGGAATATCTCCTATAATTTGTTAATCATCAGGCACTTTCTCATTCTTTCCCTTTCCTGTCTGTTCTCATCACAAAGATGCTCAATGACACATGTTCAAGGCCTTTTCAAAAGAACAAAAGGGAGGAAAGAAGCACAGGTCAAAAACGGAAAAAGGAAAGGAGAAAAACAGAGGCTGTCAGGAAAGCAGTGCCAATAGCTGTCATGGTACTCTTCATCTTCTAAAGAAAATTGTAGTACAGACATTTATTACCTTAGAAGTAGTTCATAATATTTGAGATCTTATTAAAACGAATAAATAAAACCAGAGGCCTCTATATGTACTGAAGGTAACATGGTGTCCTTCATCCCTGGTGCTTTTGAGAATTTTCAATGCAATGATGCAAACAAGAATAAAGAGACCTTGAGAACTTCGTCACGGCCTGTCTAAAGAGTCCATAAAATAACACTTCAGTGATAGTTTTAATTAAAAAGTCCTTCACGGTTTAGTGTCTAGTTACTCCCCAGTGTGCCCCTCCTCTCTGTTCTACTTCTATACAGTCAAGCAGCTTATTAAAACTTGCCCTTCTTGGAGCAACTTTTAGCTATTGCTTGCAGTAAAGAAGTGAATTGCTCTCAGACAAAGCTATTAAAAATATGCTGTGATAGCTAGATGAAACAAGTGACATGAACTAGAGCATTTTGTACAATTTTATCAACAAGATTTATACCAACGTTCAGTGGTTCTCTATCAAAACATGGTATTGCATGCTCTGCTGAAGGGAAGGTAACTTCCTGTCCTTTCCACAACCAAGTAGACCATCTCCTTCAGTAACTACCACATAGCAATTATCCACATTCTGCTTGCAAAAAAGCAGTTACAGGAAAGCATTTAAATCCCTAAATAGTGCAGCATTTTCTTTTGCTGTTGTTTAGCAACTAGAGCCAATGCTAGGTGACAAAGACAGATCCTCAGGCCTCCAAGTAGCATTTTCCAGAGGCCAGTTTAGGAACTGCTCTTGAAACACATTTGGCCAGCCCTGGTCTC